GGGCTATAGGGTCCATCCAGGAAGGACCTAGCGCGGCGCAGAATACCTCTGTCTGTCCGACTTCCTCTATGCTCGGCCGTGGAAGAAATTCAATTAACTGGGGGTTAGGAGATGCGCAATCAACCATTGAGGCGAGGCCTGCCAGCTCATCAGCTCGGTTGTTCTCTTCTCGGCCAATCTGTTGAACTCTGATTGCCTGAAATTGCTTGATGTGCTCCATGACCAAAGCTTGGTACTTTGCCATTCTGTCGTCCTTTGCTTCACAAATCCCAGCGACTTGGTTAACCACAAGCTGGGAATCACTGTACACCATTAGCTCGGAAGCCTTCATCTGAAGGGCGCTTTTGAGTCCGGCCAAAAGTGCCTCGTACTCAGCCTCGTTGTTGGATGCTGGGAAGCCAAGGGTGATAGAATGTTCAATAGTTAGGCCATGCGACGAGATAAGAACGATACCTAGCCCGGCACCGTGGCGGTTCGACGCTCCATCAACGAAAAGTTTCCACATCTCCCACACAAAGAGCTTCCAACATTGTGAAAGGTCCTAAGAATTACGAAGGTTGATGGGGTCACGACTGCTCGGCCGTTCGGATTCGAGTTCTGTGTTGATTGTTTCCAATTCAGCCACCCTTGATGATTCGGCACCGGACTCAGCAAGTTGATCTGCAATGCTCAAGTCCGTAGGCGAATCACCAGGTTGCGGTATTATGCCGGCCGAGGGTTCTAAGCTGTGTGGTTCCATTTCTTCCGCCCTTGGTGATGCGGGACCGAACAGAGCAGGTTGGTCGGTGATATTCAACTCCATCATCGCATTACCGAGTGGTAAAACCGTACAAACTGAGGGTGCTTCAGTGGTGCGCGCAAACTCCGCGTCGCTACTTCCACCAACTGGTTATATCTCGGATGGTCTTGCGTGCACCTCATCATCTGCCGCGGTAATATCGACCGGGCATACCGGATGAGTTCCAGGTGAGAATTCGGCGACGAAGTCGGCCAAAGTCTGGGCTTTGATGGCAGTGCGTGACTGGAACTTCACATCAAACTGTCCCAACTCGACCGCCCACTTTAGAATCCGACCGGAGAAGTCTGCCCGCTCGAATAAAGCTTTGAGGGGGAACTCGGTCAAGACGATGACGGTATGTGCATGGAAATAGTGCGCCAACTTTCTTGAAGCCATCATTAATGCCAAAGCAAGCTTCTCCAACGGCAAGTATCTCGACTCTGCCGGTAGCAAAGTTTTGCTAACATAGAAAATGGGGAGGTGCTTGATTCCTTCAGCCCGGACAAGCACCGCACTGACTGCATGCTGTGATACGGCCAAATAAAGATAGAGTTCTTCTCCAGGCTCCGGTGTGACCAACAGTGGCGCTGAAGACAGATACTCATTGAGCTCGGCCAAGGCTCGATCACACTCTTCATCCCAGGAGAACTTTGATTTTAAGGACTGAAAGAAAGGGCAGCAGCGATCTGATGACCGGCTTATAGATCGATTAAGCGCGGCGGCCATTCCGGCCAGATGCTGCACGTCTTTTGCCGAGCTAGGCTATTTTAACTCTTGCACGGCTTGGATTTGTGTAGGGTATGCTTCGATACCTCGGTTCGTGACTAGGAATCCCAAGAATTTTCCGGATCCCACGCCGAAGGCACACTTAGACGCATTCAGGCGTAGCTTGTGCTTTTTGAGAATGGCGAACATCTCGGCCAAGTCGGACAAATGATCTGCCTAATGCCGGTTTTTAACCACCATATCATCAATGTAGGCTTCCATTGTCCGGCCCAGCAAAGGAGCAAACATCTTGGTCACCATCCTCTGAAAAGTTGCCCCGGCGTTCTTCAAACCAAAAGGCATGACTCGGTAGCAAAAGAGTCCCCTTGGTGTAGTAAACGAGGTCATTTCTCGGTCGGGACCACGCATGGCAATCTGATGATAGCCGCGGTAGGCATCCAAGAAACTTAGCCTGTTATGTCCAGCCGTCAAATCCACAAGCTGGTCAATTCTAGGCAAAGGAAAGCTATCTTTCGAACAAGCTCGGTTGACGGTCTTGTAATCAACGCAAACCCGCCACTTTCCATTCTTCTTCGATACCACCACTGTATTTGAGATCCACCGAGGATAGTGTACTTCTTGAATTGCTCGTGCCTCTAGCAAATTCTTGACTTCTTCCGCAACTACCTCGGCGTGATGCAGCGCCGATCTCCTTGTTCGCTGAATGACTGGCTTGGCTCCGGGGAAGACATTGAGATGATGGCAAATAAAACTAGGATCGAGGCCGGGCATGTCGTAAGGCGACCATGCAAAAACTTCGATGTTGGCCATCAAAAACTCAACCATCTCGGTTCTTTCCGCAGCTGTAAGGCTTGAGCCGAGCAAGAAGAACTTGTCCGGCTACTGTGTATCGATTCACACCTCCACCAATTCCTCGACAGCTTTGTCCACGGCCTTGGTGCCCACATCATCCAAGACACCCTGGTCCTCCGGTCCCTCAATCATTTGAACAAATCCTTTGGCAGCCCGGCTCCCGTTGACTGCCACGAAGCACTGTTTTGACAGGACCTGATCGCCCCAAATCTCCTCGATTGTCCCCATAACCGAGGGGGATCTCATTACTTGGTGAAAAGTCGATGCCACGGCTTGCATGCCGTGAAGCCACCCCCTTCTAAGGATCAAATTGTAAGTAGATGGCACCTGTAACACCCAGAACTCCACCTGTTTGACCACGGATCCCGTTTTAACCGGCAGGATAATCTTTCCCAAAGGCCACTCCGGTTGTGAGTTGAAACCAACCAACGGCGATGTCGCCGGGGCCAAATCCGTATCTCGGAGCTTGAGCTGTTGGAAAGCGTCGTAGTACATGATCTCGACCGAGCTTCCCTGATCGATCAAGATCCGTTTCACTTCAAAATCTTTGACGCGGAGTGTAACTACTAAGGCGTCATTATGCGGTGTCTGAATGCACTCCAAGTCCCTTGAGGAGAAACTAGTCACATCTTTCGCTTCCGTCTTCCCCCTCTTGAGCGCAGGCTGAACTGACAAAACTTCCCTCATGTGCTCTGCCTTCTTGATCATACCACGGAGTTCGCAAACACGCGCCGGTTCCACTATGCCGTGGATGACATTCACAACCCCTTGAGGAGGTGCATCCCGGTCATCCGGTTCCCGCGGATCAACCAGAACTTGATTTGCCTTAACGCCCCCATCAATGTAAAGATCTAGGTGCCCGGCCGCGATTAGCTCTTCCAGGAGTTGTCTCAATGGCAAACAATCCTCAGTCCGGTGGCCTCGCTCCCGATGAAACGTGCAACAATACCGCGGATTGTAGCCCTTTTGTCCATCACCCAATTTAGCAGGAAACCGGACATACTCCTCGTCTCAAATTTCACTAAGTATGCGATAGATCGAAATCTTGAAGACCGTGGTTATGCCAGTCCTTGCCTTCAACCTTCTGTTTGCATCCGCTACGTCATCTCGGGGGTAGTCATCCTGGTCATTCCGACGTCTTCTACCCCGATTTTTGCGATTCGAGCCACGGTCCGATTCCTCTGCTCGGTCACTTAAGCGGTTGGACTCTTGCCCAACTGCGTGCACTTTGCCTGCTATCTTCTTGTCTGTTGCTACCGGAGTTGCCTTCACGGTAGATGCTGACGCATCATCCTCGACTCGGATGTGCTCATTGATGCGCTGCATGAGCTGGCCCATGGACGTCGGTTGGTGCATGGTAAGCAAGTCCCGCAGTCTATATCCGACCGGGAGACCACGCTTGTATTGAGTGATTGCAAGGTTGACCGGGCGATCTAAGATCTTGTTGAAGGTCTCCCAATACCTAGAGTTGTATGCCTTCAATGTGTCGCTCGGTTCCATCTTGACACTCAGTAGATGATAGACTTCCTTTGGTGTTTTTGTGTTGGTCTTGAAGCGTGTGACAAAGGCTTCGGCCAGCTGATGCCACCTCTCAATACTCCCCTCCGACAGCCTTTCAAACCACTTCAAGCCCAGTTCGCCCAAACTTGACGGAAAGATGAGGCACATAAGAGCGTCATTCCGCCTATGTCCGGCCATGACCTGTCGGAAATGACTTACATGCATGTAGGGATTGATTTTCCCGTCGTAAAGCGTGAACTTTGGCTGGTGGAAGCCTGCCGGAAGCGGTGTAGTTTCTATTTCCAGAGAGAAATGGGTGGCACTCAACCTGGCCAAATCTGAATCCACTAGGAGTGGCGTTGCTTGGCGGGGTGGAGGCATTCCAACCTCCTCGCTGGCATGAACCCCGTAGGATAGCCGCTGGAACGCCGGTATCCTCTGAGCTTCGCGCCGGCGAGCCCGCTCCTTTAAGACCGCTGCAAATCCTCTGAATGAGCGGAGTAAGAGTACCTCGACGTCTTCACCGGACGTGAGGGCCGGTAGGTGCTGTCTTGCGCACTAGACTTCTCTGCATGCACGCCGAAATCACCAACCTGGTAACTTCTGGTAATAGAAATGGACGGAGTGCGTCGCTGACTCTGACCGCCTGAACGGCGGGGTGGGGTGCGCTCAGTGTGGTCACCCACTCCAGCTACACCTTTCCCTTTGACATGCCGCTTGAGCTCCTCCATCTCCGCTGCCATTCGCCAGATGACAGCGTCTTGGTCCCTCAACTTGTGTTCCAGACGTCGGGCATGTGATTCTCTCCGCCGCCGATGACCGTCCGGACTTCGTGAATGACCATAACTTCTTCCCCGCTTAACCCGCGCGTCTCCTGTCTGTCCTCCGGTGGGTGTCTCCAAGTCCGCCATTGGATGGATGGATGACGGGAGGTCCTTCTCTCCTTCGGGTGAACTCCGGTGTGGCTCCGTCTATGGCAGACAACGGAAACTCGTCGTTGTTCGCCATGGACGGTGATCAGACTAGCCTGGAAGACAAGGTTTTTTGTCTGTCAAACTTTACCACAGACGGCGCCAATTGTACGGGGAGCAAATATTTCGGCAAGCCCGTATTCCTTTCTTCCAAGCTCCTGTCTGTCCGATCGATCTGCGAGCACAACAGCGGTGAGCTACCCGGCGGTGTGGCCACAAAACCCTCCGATGATCAAGTTGGCACACACCTTAGGATGGGGAGAGAGGAGTGTTTGAGTGTAAGAATTTCCTTACAAAAAAATGTTCATGCCTGCAAAGGGGGGCGCAAACTCGCTTATATACCTTCTGCGCCCCAAATCCACTCCCATCCGTCTCTCGACACGTGGTGCTGCTATCCCATCTGTCAGCACAAATCTTGCTGGGCACCACCTAACCCAACTGCCCTCCCATTCTCCTAGGAGCTCGGCAGCCGGTCAGTACCATCTCGGCCATCGTCTGCCATGCTGCGCTTCTTGCCCAAGTACTCCAACAGCTAAGCTCAGATGGGGACCGAACTCGACGGCATCTCGACAACGCCGAGCTCGGGACAACTCACACTTGTCTGCGGTCAACCTGTCTGCCGAGCAAACAGGTACCCCAGCTTCATAACCACGGATCCTCGCAGCTTGTTCAATCCACGCGCTGCCTTAACCGAGCAGCTTCCTTCACGGCCGGGCCACATAACTTGGCCCAACGCCTGTCTGGCCCAAATCTATCCGACACAACTCTGTTCGGTCCAAATCTGTCCGGCATAACACTGTCCGGCCCAAAGCTGTCCGGCACAACTCCATATCATTAATCTCCCTCTCAATATTCCTAAAAGAAAGAAATATTCCTAAATTGTGCTGAGGCCAAGGAGAATGAGATTACTGAGCAAAAGAAAGAAATATTCCTAGACTGTGAGAACAAAGAATTCCTAAAAGAAAGAAATATTCTCTACCACTAAATGGTTTCCTTCTGATAAAGCATCCTAATACATAAAGATGATGAAGAAAAAGAGAGAGAGAGAGAGAGAGAGAGAGAGAGAACATTTAAAATGAACCATTTCAATTTTTAAGCCTCTTTTCTGTCCTTTCCTTCCCCTAATTCTTTCCATGAACCAAATGGGAACTTAAAAGTTGATTTGTTTGCAGAAACTTTCTAGGAGCTTTTTTCATCAAAACAAACAGATACAGATTCATTCAGCCCAACAGCAATGTTGACAAACACTTCAAAAAGTGTGATGTCGCCATGTCATGCACAACATGAAAAGGAATGAGTCTAAGATGTGTTGGATGCACCTACCATCAAGTGTATAAGCAACACGAGTGCTCAGCAAATGGAATAAAAAGTAAAAACTTGAAATGAAGGAAAAAAGGAGATCCATTCTGAGATCTTCCCAAGGTAAAACAGATCAAAGTCATAGAAATGCAAATTGAATAACAATGCAGGTGAAAATCAACCAATGAACCGGCTCTAATCAACCAAACAAATCAAATCTCACATCTCATGATTCAATAAGGAAACTCTTAGTGTTTCATAGCAAACATCTTACCCTTGATACCCAAAGACTGCTCAATTCAAATTAAAGCACAAAATTAGAACTTCCTTTGGAGTACAGAGTAGCATATCATCTTGCCAATAACGAATTCTGCTTTGTGAGCAGAGAAGACCGCTTTGTCTCAATCTATTGGTCTATGCGGATCAGGGGCCCAGCTAACAAGCGTGCAGGGAATAAGGGTACTGGATTGCGCTCATATTCATCACTAACTTGGTTATCGGTACGCAAAATTTCATAAATATATAAATCAGAAGAGAGAAAAGTGAGAAATTGAACCTTCTAAGCAATCCGATCATGGTTGAATCCTTCACTGGATCTTACCAGTCAACTGCCAAAAAAAAAAATCCTAATTGAATATAAAGAATATGAAAGAATGAAAGGATACCACAATCCGATCATGGTTGTCAGTAAAAGAACAGAAAAATCATTCAGTTGGATGATGGGGATGAGGCAGTACATCAAATAAAACCTCTGTAAAGACCTTTATGGCAATGACATGAGAAGAATTCAAACTTGAAGTTAATAAAATATTGGACAAAGAAGAAACTGAGTAATATATCGCACAAGGAACCACTACTGCTAGACATTAAATCAGACAAACTAATATTTTTTTTGGGTGCCATATAAAGCTAGAAATTATAAGCAAATACTAAACATTCAAGCAAAACACAACGTGTAGATTATTCCAATGATTAAATTGAATATCAATAATAATGGTTAAAAAGCAAGCACAAAAAGTCATATAGATATATGAATGTATGTATATGTAAGATGTGAAGGAGCAGAGGTTTGATTGTACCAGCCGTGCAAGCACTTGTGGAGCAGAGGTTAATGGTACCTTGCGATTATCTTGCTGAAGCTGAGGCAGATGCAGAGGCAAGAGAGATCATCATCGAAGCCATCTGAATCAGACAAGACGATGAAACGATAAGATCAATTTGAAACACTTAAAATTAGTAAAAAAAATCAAGCAGTGATCTTCGAGAGAAGTAGAACTTTGATGAGTCTAAATTCGAATCGGTAATCGATGTAAAAAAACAAGAATAAGAAAACAAAAACAAACCTCAGAGAAGTAATGAAGTCGTGTTCAGATCTAGAAACAAAACAACCAAAAACAGAAGACCAACCCTGCCTTTCAAATAAAATTGATAATTTGAACAAAAACGAGAACTAATCACTGTTTTCTTCGTAGACCTATAGATACACATACATATGAGGCGGAGAGAGTGAGAAATGCACCACATCTACAAAAAACAAAAATGAAGGAAAAGATAGATCTGTTGTGAACGAAGCTTCAGATCTCAAATCGGCGAAAAAAATAAAAAAATAAAAATACGAAGTAGATGAAGAATCAACCCATAGACTTCATGATCTCTCTGTGTGTGTGTGAAAAATGATAGATCTATCTGATTGAAGCTTGACATCTCATATGTTAGATCTATCGTTAACGAGTAATGATAAATCGATTTTCATGATCCATTTTCTCACATCGAGCTTCAAACGAGAGAGAGAGTGTGTGAACTGCAAAATTAGGACAAAGGAGTGTGTGTGTGTGTGTGTGAAGAAGATGACGAATCAACCCATAGACTTCGTGATCTGTGTGCGTGTGTGAAAAATGATAGATCTACCTGATTGAAGCTTGACATCTCATATGTTAGACCTGTCGTTAACGAGTAATGATAAATCGATTTTCATGATCCATTTTCTCACATCGAGCTTCAAACGAGAGAGAGAGTGTGCGAGAACTGCAAAATTAGGACAAAGGAGTGTTTGAGCTCATAATCAAAGAATATCACAAGTTAGAGCTCATAATCAAAGAATATCACAAGTTAGAGCGCTTAACCAAACCTGGTAAAAAGTTACTTTTTCAAGCTGCAATAGTTCTGTAAATTGGTATTCATCAAAAAAAAATTATCAAAATAAGAATAGGGTACAAATTTCACTACTTTATTATGTGTGGCCGTTGGAAGCGATCAATCGGTCAACAGCAGTAGACTAATCGGTCGACCGGTTCCCTTTTAAATAGATAGGTTCAAACCGGTAAAAAAGATTCAAACAAATAAAATTGCATTACCGGTCCACCGACCGGTCGACCCTCCCCTTTTGATGCACGGTTTGAGGAAGAAATATCAAATTGAGAAAATTAATTTTTTTTTACTCAAATTTAGTGAAAAATTTGATTCACCGTTAGAGATGATCTTATGTTTTCGTCTATAAGATTGTTTATAGGGATCAAATTGAATTGGCTAAATAACCTTGGCCTAGTTTGGCATAATATAAAAAAGTTAAAAAGTCACTATCCTATCTAAATTACATCATCTCATTTAAATCACATCATATTTCTACCACATCACTTCAAATTCAACCCATATTTCACGTTTTTTTGTAAAACATTAAAAAATATACTTATTTAGATCGTCTCAAACAACCTCTAATTTCTTCTAGTGCTTTTCTTTTGCCCCGTTTGTTTGGAGAGTTAGAGGAAAGATTGAGGTGGTGAGGTGGGACTCATTAATAGGGGTGTTTGGTAAAAAAAAAAATTTAACTTAAATCAACTTTTGGCTTAAATTAAACGATATTAGTGTGTTTGGTATAAGGTAGAGATTATGGCGTAATTTAGGCCATTTTTGGCTTAGAGCATCTCCAATGGTGAACTTCTTTTTTCACAAAATCTGAGTAAAAAATGACTGGTTTCACCAAATCTGATATCACTAGCTCCAACGGTTCATCAAATCCCGTATCAAATCCCGTGGGTCAACCGGTTGGTCGACAAGTGAGTCGACCGGTGAGTCAACCGGTAAGCGTAAATGTATTTTTGATTTTTTTTGCAGCTTTAAATGCTATGTGAATACCCTGAATAATTTCTTAGTGCAAGCCCAGATGATATTATCTATATGTTAGTTGATTTTCCCCCAGTCATCTCTCTCTTGAGAGACTCCAACCGTCATGAATACACGCTGCAATCATCCTGTGCTGAATCACATTTCAATTTCTTACCAAATGTTCCTATCCTGTTCTGCACAACCCTGTGTTTTTCATTTCCCTTCCTTTCAAGAAAATGAAAACAAGTCAAACCCTCAACTGCCTCTTCGACCACCTTTTTGTAAACCAAAACCTCAACCTTCTAATTGACAAGACTTGCCATAAACACAATTTCATATTCATCAATTCAAACAATTTCAGATGTTTGCTGGTGGGTTGACCGGTTGGTTGACCGGCCGGTCAACTGGTAAGACAAAATATATATATATATATATATATTTTACCTGTTTGAACCTTTTTTTGACCGGTTTGAACCTACCTATTTCAAAGGAATTCGGTCGACCGGTTGGTCAACCGGGCGGGCAACCGGCTGGTTGACTGGTTCCTCCCTCCAACAGTCACAAACAGTGTTTTGATGAAATCAGTATTCTGTCCTCAGTTTGATGAATTGTTTGGTAAAATCTCATTTTGATATCGATTTGGTACAACCGTTGGAGCTCCAAACAGTAACTTTTTCATCAAATTTTAAATTTGATGTCAAATTTGGTGAACCGTTGGAGATGGTCTTAAATGTAAAAGTTGCTCTAAGGGTGTTTAATTTTACGGCTTAAGCGCACAGCTATTTTTGGAGGGACAAAATGACTTAAATGCCCCTTCAAAACTTAAGAAATCACGAAAATGCCACTATATAAACACAGTTCTGAGTTCAGACCGAACCCTTCTCTCAAGCGATGCTCTCATCTTCTCTCACTGCTGAGCGATGAAGAACTGCTCCACACGTCGAAGATTGCCGGCGATCGTCCTGTTTTCCATTAATCTCTACCAAAAAGTAAGATTTGAAACCCTAAACCCTATATTTTGTTATGTATAGATATACATATTAGACATACATATCGATTTAGGGAATATGCCCTTCCAGCCAACACCCCCTCTCGATTTAGGGAATATGTCTCTATCCTTCGACCGGCAGCGAGCGACAAGCGACGGCGGCGGCGACTGAGGTATGTTATTCCCTTCTTTTCTTCTCTTCTTCTATTCTTCTACTCTAAGATTCTGAGTTTTGTTGAAATCAGCCCTTGGTTTTAATTCCAAATATCATACTATTTTCTAATTCGTTTTTTGTTGATTTCATTTATTGATTTGGGGTTTTTTTGGGCAAAAGGAGGTGATATTTATTCCATCTTTTCAAATCTATTTGTTTTGTTTGATTGGTTTGTATTGTAGATTTTCAGATTATCAGTATGGTGTTCTATATATTTCTATTGTGTCAAAATAATAGTTAAATATATATTTTTTTATATATTTCTATTTTTGTGGTGTTTGAAAATTTGTTCTATTTGGCTAGATCTTTTAAATTTTCAATTCCATTTAATAGTTGAATCCATTACTTAATTATAACTTTGTTAAATTTTATGTCAAATTTAATATAAAATGTGACTCAAGTCTTTTTATTGGAACAAATATAGTGTCATATTAGATAAAAATACTAACAAATATAGGGGGATTTGGTGATAGCCCCTTCACTATCTAATTTGTCTTTCAAAAGGACAAGAATTATATAAGTACTTTCAAAACCCCCTAATATTTTAAAACTTGTTTCTTTTACCATATTACACTCATAAAATTTTACTTTGTATGAAAGTAAAATTTTACTCTGTATGAAAGTAAAATTTTACTCTGAAAAACGAGTAAACTGTGAGACTTTGAAGCTAAAAGTAAAATTTTACTCTGTATGAAAGTAAAATTTTACACTCTGAAACTAAGAGTAAAATTTTACTCTGTATAAAAGTAAAATTTTACTCTGGTTTTGTCAAATGAAAAAACAGAATAATAGAACCAGAGTAAAATTTTACTCTGGTTCTATCAAATGAAATTTGATAAAAAATAACAAAAACAAAACAAATTAATCAACAAATCAACATATCTAATTGAGAAGAAAAACTTCTAAAACTCGATCAACAATCACAAATCTCAATGAAAAGAATACATATGTTCAACAACACTCATACACACAAATATATATATATATATATACATATATTCTCAAAATCTTGAATGAGGAATGTAACGGCCGCAAGATCTTCAGATTTGTAGATCGTCTTCATCGATTTTGTGAAGTATGATCGATTTGGAGATCGTCTTCATCGGCTACGAGCTCAGATTTCAAATTTTTCATACGTATGATACTATATATATAAGGGCAATATTGTGATAAAAAAAATAGAAATTATAAAACGTCCTTATTAAGATAAGCATTTCTTACTCAGGCACTTTTTGAAAGAAAATTAATTGGGTTATCCTTTACCCTAATAAAAAGGCCCAAAAGGGGGGTTCCACCAAAAATCCCACAAATATATCAACCAAGAGAAATACTAACAAATATAACCACACATCGGTTTGGTTCATATTTAATTGTTGTGAAATCCGAAAGACTGTTGATGTATTGTTTTTTTCTCTGCCTGTAGGTAATTCAACTGAAAACTGCACATGGATAATGTTTTAGGGCAAGATTTGATTAGTGATCTGCCTCAAAGTATTATAGAAACCATCCGAACAAAGCTTCCGATAAGGGATGCAGTAAGAACTTGCAGTTTATCGAGTAAATGGAGGTATAAATGGGCTAACCTTACTCAACTTGTATTTGATGACAATTGTGCAACGCTTTGTAATGACAAAGGAGCTGTCCAGGACAGCCTTGCAAAGTTCATTACTCGGTTTCTTTTTCTTCATGATGGACCAATTCACAAGTTCAGTTTGATTGTGAACTCCCCTTGTTTACAAGAACTTCAAATCTCGGTGAGTAATCTTAAACTCATTAAATATTTTATATTTCAGATTACAATGGCCATTCACTTGTTCATTTCCTTGTATTGATTGATGTAGGGTTCTTCAAATACATCAACTGCAACAGAAGCTCCTGATTTGGATTTTTGAAAGATAACAGATATGTTTGTTGTGCCACATGAGACGGAATTCATCAAATTTTTACTTAGAAACTCACCAATGCTCGAGACAATGAGCATTACACCTAGTGTATATGTTACAGATGGAAGATTGAATATGTGGATTGAGTTGGTGAGGTTTCGAAGGGCTTCTACACAAGCTAAAATCATCTTCATCCAAGATTGATATGTAAAAACTGTTTTTCTTACATGAAGTCTCTTTGTTTTGTGTTTGTTTTCTTTCTTTTGACAGATCATTAGGCTTCCATTTGTTGGTTCTAATTTATATGTATCTTACAAAAATGCTAATTGAATTGCCTTATAATCATCTTCATAATGATTATTTTTCTTGCTGTTTTTAACAACAATCATATTGATTACATTTTTGTGAGGCAACTAATTTGTTATCCATCAAAATCATTTGCATCTAACATGCAATTAAACAGAATAAAACTAGAAAAAATGCTTCATCCATGATGAACCTTTAAAAAATATACATTTATTTTTTAAGAAATACTTTAAGGTTTTTTTTTTGGCAGAAAATAAAATGATGTGAAACAATAGGTAGGGGTGATTGAACTTATCAGTGTTTTTATTTTCGAAAACAAAAAGAAAACATTGAAAATAAAGATGATAGGGTTGCCGATCGCGGCAGTGGTAGCTAGGGTTTCAGGAAGGAAGAGAAGAAAAAAAAAATAACAAAAATTAAATAAATTAAACAAAATTAATAATTAAAAACAAAATAATAAAAAATAGTAATTAAAAACAAAAATTAAAATTAAATAATAAAAACAATAATAATGATTAATTGTAATGAATTAATAAATTAAATAAATTGCAAAATTTAATTTCAGTTAATATCAATATAAATTTATTTCAATTAAATAACTTCTTTGGTATTTTCTTTGGTATTGTAATAATAATATTAAAAAAAAAAGGTTCTAATTGATATTAATGAAAACAAAACAAAATAATAAAAAAATGAAATAACTTCTATTAAATGAAAAAATATAATTGACAAAATAAATGACACTAATTTCATAATGACACTAATAAATGACACTAATTTCAGTATTTTTATATTAATTAGTATTGACACCTAACTCATTTGTAATGAAAAAATGAAAAAAAAATTATACTAATTGATACCATTGTTAATTTTAGTATTAATTGATGGTAATTAAGCCATTAATTGACACCTAATTCATTCATAATGAAAAAATGAAAAAAATTAAACTAATTGATACTATTATTAATTTTAGTATTAATTGATGGTAATTAAGCCATTAATTGACACTAATTAATTTGTAATGAAAAAATGAAAAAAATTATACTAATTGATACTATTATTAATTTTAGTATTAATTGATATTAATTATATTAACTTTTATTAATGAAATAACTTTTTTAAAATTAAAACTGAAAAAATGGCAAAATAATCATTTTTATATTATATATGGGCAAAATTGACAATTACACAGTAAAAAGTTATTTTACAGCTTATTAACCAAACACTACTCTGCTGCTTAAATCCATAATTCCACAGCTGCACCAAACAGGTTCACAGCTTATGTTCACAGTTATAAGTCATAATCTGTTAAGTTATAATCTATAATCAGTTATAAGTTATAATCTGTTAAGTTATAATCTATAATCACTTTTCCACAGCTCTACCAAACGGGGTGTGTTTGTTTTGAGAGGTAGGGAGGGGATTAATAGTGAGCTCCAAATTAGGGTAAGCCTCCCCAAGGGGATTCAGATGGGCCTCCAGGACTTAGTATTAGAAAAATAATCCGGCGGACTAAAAATTTTTTATTTTATTTATTTTTTACATATCAGACATTTTTTTTTAACATTAATGTTTAATTTTTTGTATTATTTTGTTAAGTAAAAATCATTATTTTATTTGTTTTATTTTTTTCAGAAATTTTTTTATTTTATTTTTATTTTTTTAAAATTTTTTACATATTGGGCATTTTTTTTAAAACATTAATGTTTAATATTTTTGTATTTTTTATTTGTTTTATTATTTTATATAAAAATAATTTAACAATCCCTACACTAACAACTATCGTCAAAACAAATACAATTTTACTTAATCCTCTCACTAACAATCCCCTCACTATTAATTCCCTCACTATCAATCCCCTCAATTCTACCTCTGAAAACAAACGGGCCTTGAAATGAAAGAAACATAAAAAATCACACTAATTTCTTGCAGTGCTTTCCTTTGAAATGAAATAAACATAAATAAATAAAAAATCACATTACTTTATATAAAAAAATAAATACACAAATTCTATTATATATCATTATTTAAATTAAACTATAAACTTCATATAGAAATGATTGAAACCACTAAAAAACATACCATTAAAAGCTCTAATGAGCTGAAAAATGTATTAAAAAAAAAAAAAACTAGAAGAGTCAACCATCACAGCAAGAGGGAGCCACCTCATTAGTGCTCCCAAGCATTAATCAACTTCATAAACATGTTAATTTCTTGGATTAAAGATTTGAGAAGAAATTGCAGAGGGAAAAAAAATGAAAAAGAAGAAGCTAAATTTTTTTCACTTTTATGTTTTCTTTCTTTGTTTTTTGGTGAACCCTGAAAAAATGGCCCGTATCAACTTAAAGTGTGAACAATTCAAATCACAAAGCTAAGTCGATGGTGGGTTGATAAAGTTTACCAAATGAGGAAAATTTCTATCCTTTGATCTCTTTTTGCATACTTTATTACTGTAATAAAATAGAAAAATAATTCATACACACAATTTTTTCTTTTAAATCCCCGATGACGTGACAAGTAAAATTTGAAAAGTTGACGTAAATTTAAATATTTCTTCAAAACTCTACTTTTTTTTTATCGGTAAATTAATTTGTTGTTAGATTAGCACCTATGGGAGAAAATCTTCCCACCCTTGGCAAAGCACCTAAATGCTTGCACTCCCTTAATTTAACTCCCCCAAGGGGAATTGAACCCATGAACTCATTGGGACTAAATCCTAAGGAAGGCACGGTAGCTAATGCATTGTGTCTTATTACCTTATTAAGGAATTATTGGGGAAAGAAGTTGTGTGAATGTAGCATTGCTGTTAATAAAATAAAATTTTGATTAACAAGTACCTTAAAATATTGATTAATAATGTTTAAATTAATTTTATATTACCTATTACACGTATTTTTATGCATTATGTATAAACATTTTAAATTTCTAATCAAAAGTCCTAAGCAATTCATTAACAAAATTCATAAAAAAAAAAAAGAAAAAGAAAAAGGAAAGGAAAGTAGGGAATTAGAAGTGCAATTATTTACATTTTAATTTTTCAATACATTACCAAAAATGTTTTCCTAGTGTTACTCCTAAATCTCATTTGTCTTCAATCCTTGATATTTACTGGCTTTTTCAAGGAAAAAAAAAAAGTAGTTTTTTTTTACAATTTAGAGGGATCACATTTGGTACCATTTAATATAATTATATGATACTAATTGCATCATTTATTAGGTCTTATTCTTGAGTAGAAATAGGGATATAAAAATGGCCCGAGAGCTGTGCGCGGCCTGAAGCTCGCCCGAGGTGGGTCTGGTCCATTTAGGCCCGGGCCCAAGCCTAGCCCGAGGCCTTGGGCTTGGGCCTAGGCCATCATTTTGAAGTCCAGCCCATTGACCCGCTCAAGGCCCACACAAAAGCCCGGCTCGAGGCCTAGTGTTATTTTTAGTGAAAAATATTAAAATTTTGGTGGAAAAAATTTTAAAAAAATTAAAAAATTATTTAGGCCTGCCCAAAGCCTAAGCCTAGGCCTAGGCCCACCAGCTCAACTCACTAGCCAGCCCAAAGCTCGAATACCCCTGAGCCTAATTTTCTGGCTCAGAAACTGTGGCTCGGCTTTTCGCGCCCCCTTTCGGAAGGTTTGAAAGAAAGCCCTACAGTTCGGACTCCTGTAGTTCTAAATCTAATCTAACAAGTGCAATGTGAAACTAATAATCACCAAAGAGTCCAAATCCAGCAAATCGTTTTGGAAAATTGATTTTGAATAAAAAAGTGCCAAAATTGGACTGTTTTGCCAGATACAGAGTCGTTATCTAAATATTTTATTTTTGGAACAATTTAGAAAACCCATGATTCGTGCCAAAGGCCATATGTCCGTCATCACCAAAGTTGCCTCGGCTCAGGATCTTAGGTACGAGAGGGGAATTGAGCACCCCCGCTCGCCCGATCAAAGAGCGGCCTCTACTAATCATGATATGATTTTTATAAATATTATGTGCTTTTGTTGATTATTAAGCTAGCTTTATTATGTGATGCGCACAAAGAAGCATAGACTAGTTTGCTCAATTTGGAACAATTCAACTCATGTTTGTTTGCGAAAATGGTTTGAATTTGTCACCAAACATAGTGAGCTTAAAACATGATTTGCCACTCAACAAAGTGGGCTTAAAATACACATTCATTGAATTGTTCCAATTCAAACAACAAGCCTTCATCCATAAACATTCAAGTAGTTTAGCATTTAAGCACATAGCCTCATGGCAAACATGCTAATCATGGCATCATTCACATTTATGTAAGTATGTTAAAGCGTAAAAACTCACCTAGTACTCCAAGCTAGGAAAATATGAGTTAGAAAAACTATACATGATTCCTAACTATACAAAATGCCAAATGCAACACATGCAAAAAATACAATTAATAGGCTCAGCTACTAATATGGCATATGAAGTAATTTGATAGCATGCGGTTAAACACGTGTTCAAAGATTATTGAAAAGACAATGCAGTTTGAATGATGCGCCGAGCCTCGGTGCATGCCATACGAATGTATGTATGCAAGCATAAGGTATGCTACTTGAAATATGTCCTTAATCTAACCATCAAAAGTGGGTAAATAAAAAGGAGAAAGACGTGGGCTTGGAAAACATACACACACGCACACTTATTACAACATTACGCCCTCGCGAAGGAGGGTCTGAATGAATAAGCTAACCCACTAGCTTCGCTAATTAAGCTAACGAATTATTACAAAACCAGAATTAATTAACTATTCTAGTTAACTAATTACAAAACGAAATCGAACTAATTAATTACAACTCTTAATTAGCTACAACTAATTAATTACAACACGTATTCAAGCTAGATATTTAAACATTAAATAAGCTTGGAATGCAAAGGAGGCTCATGCACGTACTCATTTTCCACCCAAAAAGCCACCACCTTGCTGTTGAATGCCTCTGTT